AAAAAAAAAAAAAAAAAAAATCACATTTAAGGGAGAAAACCAATATTAGGACAGCAGTACTTCTCCATTAGTGCCCATCATAAAAATCAGATAGATTAGAGGAGGAAGTTAATTATTACACTTTAAAAAAAGTTTAAACTGACCAACCCCAGCAACTTATGGCATGGTAAAAGTAACAGAAAACCAGACAACACATTCACCGTAACTGGAATATCTAGGAGTATACTAACATTGCATTTAACCCTAACTGAGAGTTTATAATATATCTGTTGGTAAAGACCAACCACAAAAAAAAAGGGGGGGGAAGAAGAGAAAAAATTCCAGGGGAAAGGGGATGAGATCATCTGACACAAATGGCATATTTCTGCCACATGAAGTTTAGGATTGGTAAGTTTGGGGACAACAACTGATGACAAGTCATTGATGCACTATTTTCCTACCACACACAAGCTGTCATTCCCAAACAGTAGAGCTATTGGGGGCATGAAAGTCACATTGGGACAAGTTGAGGAAAGTACTAATATAAGAGAATCATTATACTCTGAAAATAAGCCTTGATTTTTATTTTTTCTGGCAAATTTCTTAATATGTTTACACAACCAGTGTATGATGTCATTTTTCTTACAGCCATTCATCAAATTTTTTAAAAAAAAAAGCAGAAAAATCAAGTGGCATGTGGCCGTTTTGGAATTAGAAAATTCACCAAAGAAGTTTGCATAAAAACAGTTGGTCAACTGTGGCAGTTGCATGAGAGAAGCCAGACTTTTGAAGCAGTATTAGGCTGAGATTAATTTTTTTTTATATTCATTCAAAGAGAAGAGTTCTACACCAATGCCTGTGTATTTTACTTTCAACTTCTACACAGGTATATTCATCTTAGACAGCATTTAGCAGAACAATTTATTAAACAGGCACCCTGCAATCATTTCCCCCCCAGGATGTAGACACAACCGATGAATTCCTGACAGTCAAAATTCATTTGTTCCATCCCTGCTCTTACAGCTACTTGTGTTGAGTTATGCAACTCCATTGTAAAAGTATGATTCAGCTATGACAGAAGAATAGGGATTTCACTGCTTTTTTATAGTGCACTTAGTTATCCCCCCATTCCATGTAGAGAAAAAGAAAATCTGTAACCACAGTTCTTCTAGATGCATCATCAGCCAGACAGATTCCCTCCTGAAAGTATGCTTAGGTTCCAAGTCTTTGGTTTAAAGAAACAAAAAACCCCCCCAAAAAACAACAACAACAACAAAAACAACCACAACAAAATCTCAGGCTTTCACAATATTCAGAAGCTGCTTTCATAGCAGTTTTCCATCTTCCAACACCAAAAGATAGTGGTTGTGCATACATGTTGCTCTTCAGTTTTTCCTTCACTGCAAAACTTCTAGAACTTAAGACTGAGAAAGATAAGGGAGAGGGCATGGTTCAAGTATGCATGGGGATAACAAATCTCACTTGTGGATAAACCTATACCTCCAGAGGTAGGTCTTAGCATGTGACTGGTGCCTCCTGGGTCTGGAGGGGGCACCTGGGGTCCCCCTGCAGCTGGTCACTGAGCTGAGGGGTGCAGGGCCCCCCCCCCCCC